TCATTTTACTATATCAAAAAAAATTGTTAATTATGAAGCCAGATATCATGGAAATTTGTTATGAGGTAATTTCCATGTAATAAAAGAGTTGCTACATTCTGAGTTTACTTTTCTGCTTTTCAAACTAATTAATTTAGGGAAGGAGCATTTGAATTTCGAAGGTGATTGTTTGAGCCCTAGAGGAATATTTTTTTTTATTTATCAATATTTAGAACACAAGCTATGTAATTTATTATTCCACATGTAACAAAAAGTTATTTCAAACTTCCACAATGCGCATTGCATATAGTTATGTACTATATAGTAGTGGATTTGGCCAAGAATGTAAGTAGTGCATGGAAGCTACGTAACCCAGCAGCATTGTGATTGTGAAGGAAAAGAAAAAAACAGTAAACATTGCAACGAAAAAAGTCATTATATAATCGCACGCTCATAATTATTAACTCAAAAACTGGCAATCTCTAGAGAGACGGGCGTACAGAACATTTTTAACTCATCATTGACTACAGTGAGTCTATTTAGTTAGTTATATTAACCAGGTATTTCCGTACTTGACCGTCCAGTACGGGATTCGTACGTAAGGGTTCCAATAGTCAATTAAATCGAAGAGGATCTCGATTCCTGCACATATATACCTCCCTTGGGTTTACAATCCCTGGTTAGTACCAGAAAGCATTACGGCAGGTGTTTTCTATATCGAGTACCAACAAAACTTATGACACTTAAAAGATGAGAGAAAGAGAGAGAGAGAGAGAACGATACTTATGTCCATATGTCTTCTGAACCTTCCATGAAAAAGTAGCTTCAACCTGTCTTATGTGAAACTAGGTTTAATTAAAAGAGGACTATGTACAATTAATTTTTTTGGGCGAGACCATAGCATTGCTACGTGTGGTGTAAAATCATGTTTATAATTTATAAGTGCGTTATGATATTAGACGGCAATATTTCAGTATCAAACAATAATGTTATCGGCAATCGAATATGATGGTGAATAATATTGATAAATATATCCAAAATTTTAAACTTTTCAGGAGTAATGAAGATTTTATAACTCAAATGATTATAGTATTCTACTCACCCTAGCCCTATATTCAACTCTCTGTACTGGACCGTCCAGTTCGGGATTCGTGCGTATGGGTTCCAATAGACCGAGGAGCACTTGTGTTTTGTAGGACCCCAAAGCGATAGATTTTTAGAAGACTATTGTGGACGGCCCACCAATGCTTTGGGATTAAAGTGTCTAGTTACGCCACATACAAACTGTATACCCGATATTATCCCTGGACCATAGATTCTACACAAACTTAAAATTCTAGCTCTTCCACAGTAGTATATCCCTAGTCCCCTGAATTGGAGCTTCTTCGCGTTGCAAGGCTTGCAACACATATACAAATCAACACAAACTTAAAATTCTAATTCTACCACAGTAGTAGCTAGCCCCCTGAATTGGAGCTTCTTAGCGTTGCAAGGCTTGCAACGCATATACAAATCAATGCATATTATGCATGTGTATATGCCAGGAAAGATGAATTATGCATGCATAGAAGAGAAAGAACATGAAAGAAACACACACACACACATATATAAATATATAGTTTGAGTGTTCATCAAATAAGCTTATCAAGGAACACTTCATTTTATAATTTTTTTAACTGAACACTTCATTTTGTAATTTTTTTAACTGTCTAAACTATCAATATTTTTATACATCATTCATAGATCATCAATGCAAAAAATTAGACAAATTCAAAATCATTAAAACATCCAATTGGCACTCCAACAATAGAAAACTATTATTGACACTCTAGAAGTCGAATTGTGCACTATGAGTACTTTTTTTTCTAACTATAGAAGTTTGGAGTGCACATTTAGATTTTAGGTGTGATACATACGGCAAATTCTTGCACCAAAATGTGGAACCAATCAAATTTTAATTACAATTATTAATCAAATTCTAACTTAAATTAAAATATAGGGTGAACTGCCAATTTAGTCCCTGAATTATCACCTGAGTGAAAATTAGGTTTCTAAATTATTATTTTTTTTAGAAAAATTAGTCATTGAATTATAAAAATCTACTAATTACATCCCTAATATTAGATTCGAAGCTACTATATTCAATTTTCCGTCAATTTAAGTCACTTTACTTGCATGTAACACACATTAGAGGGCAGATTAATAATTTTTCATAAAGAAATAGTGTATGGAGTTAACTTTGTAGGGTAAATTAGAAGTTAAATTCGTAACTTATATGAAATGTTAAGGGCTTATAGGCAAGAAAATGAAGGTATTACACTCTAACGTGTGTCAAGTGCCACCTCAAGTTGACGAAAAATTGGATAAAATAGCTTTGAATATAATAGTAGGGATGAAATTAGCAATTTTTAATGAATTTAGGAACTTATTTTACCAAAAAAAAAAATAATTCAGAGACCTAATTTTCACTGAGGTGATAGTTTAAGGACTAAATCGACACTTCACCCTAAAATATAAATTAATTGGTGTCACATCATTTGATGCATAAGGTGCAGCTAGGATTATTCTTAGATTTTTGGTGTGCCAATAATAATCCTTATACATATATACCTATCCAAATTTGGAATGTAAATAGATTGAAAGAAAGGGAAAGGAGCTTCTCTTTTGCAAGTAACGGGCCATACCTTTGCTCTTACTGTTCTTTGTACTGAGAGGGCTAGCAATTGCGAAGCTTTCCTTTTCACCAACTTCCTTTTGATAGATAGCTCACTACCACAAAAGCCCTCCTACCTTCGCTTTATATAAGTACTCTTCCTCTACCTTTCTAATCCCTCCCAAATTAAAAAAATGAAAGGAAAATAAAAAATGAATATTGCTCAACCCACACGAACACACAGAGGGAACAAAACTCATCCTTTTAAGAGAAGAAAAAGTGGCACACAAGAAATAAACTTCAGAAACATCACTAGTGAATTGAATAAGTGTCAAATGATTGAAAGACAGCATCGCAATACCTTGGCCAAAGAGTGCACGTCGAATTATCAGAGAGATGTGCCATAGGCCTACTTTAACACCGGTATTGTTTCAAACTTGTTAATTACCACATGCATAGTTTGATAAGTGTGGAGTTTTATTATAAAATATCTTGGTATTAGTAGAAGTGAGGTTGAGATATTTAAACTTTTCTTTTCTCATAAATGCGGTTAATTTGTGATATTTCAACCGTGCATACATTTGGTAAAACTCACGAATATTTTTTGTTAGATTCTGAAAAGGTGGATAATCCACCATCAACATAAGCTAGCTATAAAGTATGTTTTTATTTATATTTGTATAGTTTGTGCAAATTGAAGTGCTTCTAGCTGGTAGCTATCGGAACTCTTTCCAAATGTGGGCTACGTAGGATTTCCAATACTCCATGCCTGGAATTCATTGCCATTCTCCCGTGGTGACCTAATTTTACCGGCTAAGCATTGTGAGCCATGTATTATATAATTGGCTAGTCCATAAACAAGATGCGTTAAATTCATTGTTTATGTCAATACCCAATGACATGAGTACCTGGCTTCACAACAACAACAATTTCCATAACAGATATAGTGGTCTTAGGAGTACAATGTGCGTATGCCAATTTCTTATACCTACGATAACACATAATTTAAAAAACCCACCATAACTATGACCAAAACTGGGTGTTCGAATTAAATTAATACTCAAATTAATCAGACTATGTTGTGAGAGAAGATGAAATTTTATCGAAAAAATATGCATAATGACAATGTTAATTAACGTGCTTATTTTATATTAATGACAAATCATCTAATTTACTAATTTAATTTGAAATTTTTATCTTCCTAACATTATTTAGAATTAAAAGGGAAAATAAGAAAAGCATTCCACTTTCGTGTGGAAGCCACGATATCAGCACACTACATGATTAAACTAAGAAGACTGCATACAACTATCGCGTGGAAGACACAATGTTGCCATTTCCACTACATTGAAAAGATGAAAACCACTCATATTCATATATATCAATTTTTCTTCCGTGCAATTTGCTGTCCCAAAAAAGAAAATAACAAACTAGAGGTGGAAGAAGTAGCCAGTAATGCATTTAGCAGATTTTAATTTTTTTTAAAAGGACGTCGTTGTAGCCAAGTTATTAAAAAACAACCCCAAAAACCTCTTCCTCTTTGCAAAGCCGTTGTTCCTCTGAAAAATTTAGAACCGCAACGCTGTTGAATGCACCTACTATGCACCACCACCATCTCCCACAAGACCACCAGCCTTCGTCGTCCTGACCAACCTAACCATTCTACTTGCCAAACCTGTCGCCGGCCAAACCATTACCAATTCGCCACTACGCCACTCCGACCCGCTTGGTGGAGCCATAAATTATTTTATGGGTGGGCTAGCTAAAAAAAATATCTTAAAATCAAATGATTTATTTATTTATTTTTGCTACATATGTATTGTATGCAAAAGTAAGTTAAACTTTTGTATTTGTACTTTAAAACTCAAAAAGCTTCGTAATTGCAAACGGCTAAATTTACAATAAATAGTCCAATTTCACCTATATTTAGATGCAAACACAAGAAGATAGAAAACTTGATACATGGACAATTTGAGTTACAACCACACAACTAGCACAAACCAAAACAATGAAAGTAGAAGTATTTAAAAAAAAATTGATTGAAAATAATATAAAGTGCACTAAATCAAAGCAGAATAATTTTGAACAAAATGACATCACAATTTTTTGTTATAAATAGTACTCCAAAAAAATTCATATCCTTACAAATAGTATTCCATATACAAATTTTTTGTTATATTTTCATGACATTTTTTTGGAGCGCCAAAAAAAAAAACTCATTCTCAATTTACCTACCTACAACAGCCAACTAATGTATAGTGGCAACGAAAAAAGCAATCTAATAATTTACTATGAGTATGAGCCACTCACTAATTAAATTGTGCATAGTGGATAGAAATGCCGACATTTGTACCTCAAAGTCTCAAACTTAAGGGAAAAAAATGTAATTAGGATCCAATATGATAATTTGTTTATGACGTTGGGTTTAAATCCTTTTATAAAATTAACGACATCAGGCTTAAATACATAACAAATACAACATATGAATTTACTTAACCGGACGGCACTGGCTTGTGTCCGGACAACATATATATGAATCCCTCATCTTCTTTCAAGTCATCATGCAGGTGCTACTGTATGCCTGAGTACGATGCTTTTTGTCATATGCCCTATCAAGGACCAACAAACATTCTGCTTGGTGATGAAATTTAGGTTTTATGAGATTCCTAACGACCCAAAAACTTGAGCTCAGTTTCACACGAAGCACCAACGGCAAACCCTTCCCTGATTTGAGCATATCGTCCATGCTTCTTCCAGCACCATACACAGGCTTATTCCTTGTTCCAACATATAACTTGAATTTTGATGACCCACTCTCAGCATATAGCTTTGGTCCCTGAAAACTTTGAATAATGACTGGTGGACCGGAACAAATTGACATATCATGAACACATGTGTGTGTGCGTGTGGAAAATTCTTTTGTCAAACCGTTAATCTAGACTACACAATCAGACACGAGTCTTTCTATTTACAAACAGGCAATTTAAGCAAACACCAATGTAATTAAATTTAAATGTATGTGACAAGTTAAATGAGGCACAAAATTGAGCAAATACACACACACACACACACACGTATACTTACATGTGATAGTGCAAAAGGTAGCCGGCCGAAGCACATTTCCATCGCTGGAGGACGAATGTGGAGGCTAAAGAGCTTAGACTTGTTCTCTATTATGAGATTTATGGAACAATTGCAGGTAAGGAACTTAGTTGTGACGCCCGAGCCATCCACTCCTTCCCCAAGCCCAAATTGGTCAATTCCTGCCATCTGCAGTTTCGAGACTTCACAAACTTTCACTAGAGCAAAATAGTTTTACACAATAAAATAGTTCAATAAAGATGTCATATGAAGGTAAAAGTGTTATTACAGGTTTACATCTTTGCCTTGAAGATGCTCTTAGGATTTGTAAGCTTGTGAGTGTTACTAATTTTATTGATTTAGTTCATTTTGTGGCTTTTAATCCTTGTAGCCTGGGAATTAGAACATTGTGTTCCCATGATAGAACATTACGGTTTTTTCTTTTGTGAGACTTGTTTATACCATATTTAGGGCCTCGTATTTAGACCTCGTATAAATATTCGGAGGACTTAAATGTAATTATGTGATAAAGGAAGGGGCAAATATGTAATAAGTGAGGAGTCCTTATTCTATAAAAGGACCCCTCACCCTCACAATTAGGGGAGGCCATTGATGAAGCCTCTTCACATCCCCTAAGCTCTAAGCTCTCTCTCCCTCACTTCTCAGAGAAATATAATACAATCAGTGTGGACGTAGCCTAAACCTTGGGGTGAACCACGATATATCTTGTGTTATTTACATTACTTGCGGATTCACGGTCGGATTTACGTTGTTCCAAGACTTCCGGTTTTGTGCATCAACATTTGGCGCCGTCTGTGGGAATCGACACAAAAAGTTATGTCGGTTTTCTCTTAATTTTTCACCTCCGCCGTGAATCTGCAAAAACCCAAAAACCAAACACATAAACAGTCACTGCAAAACCCGTACTACTACACCACTGCAGCAAAATGTGGCACAACCACTTGGAAGCATACACGTTTGGGTCTTGGTCTCAGCTTGAATTTTCCTCACACCCATAACAATCAAAGCAGCAACCGCTTTCAGCTAAATATGAGATCTAAATTCTAACTCGGAGGGGTGTCGGGGTGGGCCCCGATCGTTCCTGGGGGGCATCGACGTGAACCAGCTACCACCGACGGGCGATTGCAAAGAAGAAGCGGGGGTGTCTACCCCCAGTTGCAAAAATACGGGTCGAAGAAATGCTCCCGCTCTGCTGCATCACGCTCGAAGGTCTCGGTGACTAATCGTCGGAGATCTCGTTGTCCCGGACCCGGAGCCTCCCGATGAGTCTGGCGCAGGTCAGATCTGAAGCTAATACCGCCGACCGAGCATCGGGATCTGAGGCCACCGTTGTCGGAGTCCTCCACAAGTGGACCAATTACAGCAGGGGCTGGAGATCCAGGTGTTTCCTTCCCCAAAACGGCGTCCTCTCATACTCCAAGATTCGACGACCTCCTGTATGGGTCTGGCTCGCGGATCCTATCAGGCTGTCTTTCCCAGAGCTTAGAATGAGTTCATTGCATTCAGCTGCTACTACTAAATCTTCGACTAGAATCAGTGTTTCAGAAGTTAGAAAGTCGGTTTCAGGATCGCCATTAGACCGGAGTCTGAATAAATCATCCTTGTCAAATGTGAGTGTAAGTAAACAAGAGACTGTCAGGAAGCCTGCTGTCAAACTTGCACTGTCCACTTCATCCTCCTCTTCAAGAAGGGCGACTTCCTCATTGGATAAGTAGTGCTAGCAGTGGAGTCAGGAAGTCGGCCTCAAAGCTTTCTTCCTCATCAGCTCGAACACCTACAGTCACTAGTGGGCTGAAAACCGGTTCTTTGTCTTCTTCTCTTGATAGAAGTTCTAGTTTATCTGGGCGTAAGAAAACTACAACTCATGAAAGCTGGGATTCTCGGTTCATTGTCCTTCAACAAGTGGAAATCAAAGCCAGTGATGATCTGCTCAGTCAGCTGCGAGTGTTTGGAGAAGAGTGGCGAAGCGGTATGTTATTTTCCTATGAACTGAAAGCAGAGCTTTCTTGCAACGGTGGGCTCATGAAATACCGATAGAGCATCAACTTTGCAGCACTGACAAAGCATCAACGGCATCAACTTTGTTTGTTGGACACTATCCCACTATCTACCAGCCCACAATCCCACTCTCCAAACCATAGAAGATAAGCCTTCTTTTATTACAAGATGTTGGCCATGTTTTCTTAAAGCAAGATAGTTTTAATAATATCTATTATTATACTTATTCTTCAAATATTAGTGTGGAAGTGGGCCTCCCGTGGAAACCAATGGTGAAACCCGAAGAAGCCAGGTTTTCAGCCTGCCTTTCCCCTGCCCATGATAAATGTATTGGACGGGACAATCATTCGAGATGGGTGCCAGCTCTGGTTTGTTCCCATGCCTGACCTAAAAAACCAGTGGATGGGTCCATTACTCAGGATCCCACTCATTATGCCTTACCATAAAGAAGAGGAAAAAGAAAGAGGGCAGCACTGTTAGAAAAGTGGAGGTGTGATGATAGGTCATCTGTGATGTATCTTTAAAAGCACAAAGAGAGTGGACAGCACAAAAGAAGAGAAAGTGGAGAAAGCGAAGATATGCATGCATACGCGGGCACCGCAGACATTATTTTTATTTTTTGCTGGTATATGTACTGTTATCACCATCTGTATCCCCAGTATCATACCAAGTGTAAAAAAAAAAAAAAAAAAAAAAAAAAGGCCAAGGCCCAAAACAAATGGGCTGGCATGTTGCAAAAGGCGAAAGCCCATAAGCTCGAAATAGCACTAACCAGGTCATCAAAGGTACACCCAGTACTCCACAATTATTCGGCAACTCGCCGCTATTACCACCAACCAGGTGGTCAAAAATACGCCCAGTACTCCATAATTATTTGGTAACCCGCCGCTATTATCACCAACCATGTGATCAAATGTACAACCCGTACTCTAATATCATTTGGTAACTAGCCATTCATGCCACCAACCAGGTGATGAAATGTACAACCCGTACTCTAATATCATTTGGCAACTAGTCATTCATGCCACCAACCAAGTAATGAAATGTACAACCCGTACTTTCCTTCATGCCACCAACCAGGTGATTAAAAGTACGCCCAGTACTCCAAATTATACATAAGCATTACTCATGTCACTCATACATAAACATTCATGAGCATCACTCATGACATTCATACATAAAACATTCATGAGCATCACTCATGACAATCATACATAAACATTCATGACCATCATTCATGTCAACATTCATGAGCATCACTCATGTTAAAATTCATGAGCATCACTCATGACAACATTCATGAGCATCACTCATGTCAGTCAACATAAACATTCATGAGTATCACTCATGTCAATCAGCTTCAAAAGCTTCATTTACAGAGCTACAGCTTCAAAAGTTCCATTTACAAAAGCTCTAGCTTCAAAAGCTTCATTTACAAAGCTCTAGCTTCAAAGCTTCACTTACAAAGCTTCAGTGCAAGGTATACAAATACCGCCTCCGAACCACCGCCACTTCGGCCTATACATGGATTTAATTTGAAGTCTCAAGCCAACATACTCTATTGACCGAAGACTTGGGGGACTACACTATACACCATATATTGGGCCTCAACTGGGCCTCATGAAAAATACTTGGGGGACTTAGCCCATTACTTATGTATGGAGGGGCGAGCCCTTATTCTATAAAAAGGACTCCCTCACTTTCATTAGAGAGCACCCATTATTCATGTACTGAAGAGCGAGCTCTTATTTTATAAAAGGGACTCCTTCACCATCATTAGAGAGCAACATCGCCAGCTGGGCAACCGCCTCGCCGCGAGCATCACTCATAACCCATCACTTATGTATTGAGGAGCGAGCCCTTATTCTATAAAAGGGACTCCCTCATCACCATTAAAGAGCATCGCCGCCTACTGAGCAACCGTCTCGCCGCGAGCATCAACTCTAGCCCATCATTTATGTATTGAGGAACGAGCCCTTATTCTATAAAAGGGACTCCCTCACCATCATTAGAGAGCATCAACTTTAGCCCATCATTCATGTATTGAGGAGCGAGCCCTTATTCTATAAAAAGGGACTCCCTCACCTTCAAACGCCGCAAGCTGAGCCAACCAAAGCAACATAAGCCACAAGTCAAGCAGCCTCGCAGCATGTGCTACTTCTAGATGAGCATCATTTCAGATTGAGCACCGCCTCATATTGAGCATCAGTTCAAGACAATATCTAGTTACTTCGGCCCACACATGGACTGAATTTTAAGTCTCCAGCCAAAAGACTCTCTTGACTGAAGACTTGGGGGACTACTGTTTATACCATATTTAGGGCCTCGTATAAATACTCGGGGGACTTAAATGTAATTATGTGATAAAGGAATGGGCAAATATATAATAAGTGAGGAGTCCTTATTCTATAAAAGGACCCCTCACCCTCACAATTAGGGGAGGCCATTGATGAAGCCTCTTCACATCCCCTAAGCTCTAAGCTCTCTCTCTCCCTCACTTTTCAGAGAAATAATACAATCAGTGTGGACGTAGCCCAAACCTTGGGGTGAACCACGATATATCTTGTGTTATTTACATTACTTGCAGATTCACGGTCGGATTTACGTTGTTCCAAGACCTCCGGTTTTGTGCATCAACAAGACTCAAGCACATTAATTATGAAGTTAGTAATGGAGGCAGATCATTGGGAGTCTTTAACAAATTCGTGGGAGAAGTTCGGGTCAATTAGAAGCACAATTTATAAGGTTACGTTCTCTTAGTCATAGTCATTGCATATAAATGTAACAACCGTGGTGTCACTGTTTGTTTTGGTCAAATTGGTCTTCGTTGTGCGATCCGTTTTGGTAGTCTCGTTTGCTAACAAAACGATGACTTGATGTGATCTCGCTTTTTCGCGATGATTTTTTGTGGCCTTGCTTTTTAGCTATGTCCGTTGTGGTTGTCTGTATTTCTCTGTTGCTGCTATCGTTTATTGTAACAGATCTGTATTGGTAGCTCTTGTGGGCTTGGCGGTTGTATGTTAGCTCTTGTGGTTGTCATTTAGGGGTTTCTTCTTATTTGTCTATTTGTGTAATTCACTTCAGATCAATTTTTTTGTCACTGAAGCTATGTACCCAATGACACCCTTGTAATGATTCATGTTGATTAATGAAATACACTATTATTTCTGTAAAAAAAAATGTTTGTGTGAGAATAAAAAATTTGTGTAATATTTTGAGTGTTCTTTCTTTCTCTTGTCTATCAATTCCGCTGCTTTACATTGTTCTTCGTGAGATAAACATCTCCAAAGTAGTGAAGACTTTTTAAGCCCCAACATTTGTTACATGCACTTTTATCATGTCAGTTAGGCAACATATTTGGAATGTTTTTGGCTTGGATAATGGATACACTTCATGGCTCCTTATTAGAAAGTTTTCATTGCGCGGATTGGCCTTGAATAAGAGTTCTCAATTACGAGGTTTGTGGTTGGCAACTTTTGTTTCTACTTTCTGGTGTATTTGGTACTAGAGAAACCAAGCCCGGCATGAAGAAGTTAGAATGAATATTGATTATGCTTTTAAGCTTATTGTTGGTCAGATCCATTATTCAAATAGAAGCTTGTTGTATGAATAATGATTTCATGATTTATGTGTGTTGAAGAGATTTGGTTTTACATTTAAGGCTCGTCGAGCCCCCATTAGTTTAGAGCTGTGTTGGCTTCTTCCCAATCATATGGTGGGTTAATTTAAATAGTGATGATGAAAGAGTGGTTTCAGTCGTGTTGGTTCTAGTGGTGTGTTTCGGGATTTTAAATGCCAGTTCTTGGAGCTTTTTGTTCTAACCGAAGATTCCTAGCTCTGTTGTGGCAAAGGGAATAGTGCTATTAAAGCTATTGAATTAGCTTCAGTTCGGGATTTGGATTTTATTTGGTAGGAAGTTGATTCTGCTTTGGTTCTGACTTCTTACGCTCTTCGCAACTGGTAACTTGGCAATTGAGAATGGAGTGGAAGAACTCGCATAGAATTTTCCAAATGCATTTTGGCCTTCTCACATATATAGGGAAGGTAATCAAGTTGTTGATGCCCTTGCCAATCATGGTTTCTTTTTTACTGGTCTTGTTTGGTGGGACTCTCCTAAATTCTTTTGTAGTATTTTCATCGTGATTATTGAGGTCTTCCACACTCACTTTCAATAGGTTATCTTTTGTTACCTTTTTCATAACTTGCATTGATTGTTGGAGGTTTTGTTTGTTATGGTTGATATCATTCTCAGAGTTTTTAGACTTTATGTCCCACTTAACAAATTGTACTTTTCTGCTTTTTTAATAATCTACTTCATTGTTTTTTCTCATGATAGCAATATTGAGGTGGGATTGACTTTGTTGTTTTACTAAAAAAAAACTTAACCCTTGATATCCAATCTAGTGTTGCATTTGGTACGCAAAAAGGAATTCATGAGAAATGATTTCCCATTCTCTTCCTGGGAGAGAGAAAATGCAAAATTCCTTTCCTATGTTTGGTAACGATACATATTTCTATCAGTGTTTTTTTTTTTTTTTTTTCATGAGGAAGGAAAGTGAATACGCAAGCGCGCGCCGCGGGGGGGGGGGGGGGGGGGAGGGGTGGGATTTCACTTTTTCCCTATTTTCCTATGGCTAGAAAATCATCTCTCAAACATGAACTTACCAAACATTAGAAGGCAACATTTTCTCATTTCCAAGTTCTCTGTCTCCACACCAAACGTAGCCTAGCTAAGGGCGACTCATTATGCATTTCTTGATCATGTAGTCACCAAGAGGATATTTTAGCAATATGTGAGCTATTTTAGGTGATTCAAGTTTAGTTGTTTTGTGTTTTTAATTTTATTTATATATAATAAGATATCTGCATTAAACTTATTTAAATTATAGAAAGCAATATTCACTTGAGTGTAAAAAAAATGCAAACTACTCTAATTAACTTGACTAAGTCAATGTCTACCATTGGCTTTATGCTTTGAGTCTCATGATTGTGCTTCTTCTTTATTCGGCTTAACGCGCGTATCCCAAGCTCATATCCAGCAAATATGAAGTAATTTAATGCCTGTTTCCAATCTTATCAATTTCTTGGTTTTCTTTTTCTTCATACACAACAGTACAACGTAGAAAAGATAATCCTCAACTTACAAAGGGCAAATTTCATTTAACATATTTTCAAGATTAGGAACTAATGAATTCTGTTTTATTTAGGTTTCGGTAAAAGTTTAAAAAGCAAACAAGATGCTAACTAAAACACCTGCAAACATAGGCTAATAAATTAAATGTACATCACATAATTTTTTATCAAAAGGGAAAAAAAATGATATATATATATATATATATATATATTTGTCTTTCTGAAAGGTAACTTGAACTCAAACTAATAAAAAAGAAAGGAAATCACTATTGATCAGACTTAAAAATGAAAAAATGGTCATTGCATTTCGTAATTTCAATTTTATTTTTCTGATATGTATAAACTAAATTTCCTATTTTACAAGACAAGTTAAAATAACTTCTGGCAACAAATTGGGCAGAAAGGCCACTAATCATATATTCAATTGGCATAATTCCTAGTTCTCTTTTTTTTTTTTTTAAGGTGAAAATATATTGTGTTATTATATTTGTGATCATACGTTCACTTTATAGTTCTTCATTAGGTATTTATATTCTATTCGCCATAATCATGTGTCCTCAATTACCACCATAATAATATGTGGCGTGCATGCTACTAGCTAGCCACTTGCAAATCCAGCTGAAGCAAATCATGCAATACATACACCTAGTATGGTGAATCTTTTGTGATATATAAGTGCTAGATTTAATACATACGCATAGTTTTGAAACTAAAATAGAGTACTTTTTCGAGAGATTGATGAACGTACCTGAATAGACACTTTGGGTGGTGGGGGCTTTGTAACAACGTAAAACACAAGCAGTGCGATACACAAACTCAACATAGCCCTCCAACTTATTTGCAAAAGTATCCATACAAACGAATCCGAATATCGATATGAACAATACCTCTTCCACCACCCCGATCTTTTCCCAACCACATAATAATACTCCTCGTCATCATCTTCATCGCCAAAGTGATCATCACTACCTTTGACGATAACCAGACGGTTTTCGCAATTATCGGTCCCTGTGCCATTACTACGTGCATCAAAGGAGATCTTTTTTTGGTGCAGGAATGAGTGACTGGATCCACGGGAGGACAAGTAGTGCGAGAGAGTGAAGCGAGTGGCCTCTTCATGAAGGGTTGGGTTTGCTGGATCGGGTCGTGTTGGGGAGTGGAATTCAGATTCCGGGATGGGGTTTCGGATATCAGCACTGTTGGAATGGGAGTTGGTGGATGGGCTTTGCACGTAGTATGCACAAGGGTATGAATGAAATAGAGCTTCTTGGTCCTGATCATGCTCCATAAATAATATTGAGAGAGAGAAAGAGAGAGATATATGATTTGGAGCTCTAACCCTCTTACATGGGAATGGGGTTTTTGGAAGGTTTTTAAACTGCAGAGAGAGAGAGAGAGAGAGAGAGAGAGAGAGAGAGAGAGAGAGAGAGAGAGAGAGGTTGCTTTGTTTTGTTGTGTGGGGTTTGGCTAGTAGGCTAGGCTATGAGGGTATATGAGCCAAAGAATGCTTCGCTTAGTAGGAAAGATTGAAACCATTGAGCACAATCAGTAATCAAACAAATTTTCATTATTACAAACAGCAAAACAGCAATAATAATAATAATAATAATAATCACGTTTTATTTTCTATTCCCTTTTAAGTTTTAAGAAGAGTAATGTTATAGAGACTAAATTTGTAGATAAAATTTTGAAAACTAAAAAACATGAAAGTTGATGATTGATTTATTACTTACACATTGATAAATATGCTTATTCTTATTGGTGACACATCATTTATTTTGCAAATTTAGTCTTCCTGACATTACCCTTTTAAGAACGTTACTTTATTTGTTTAAACAAAAATGTTACTTCATTGTACCTCTACAAATTATGCATGGTCATAAAAATTGACCCAATCAACTTAAAAATTAATTTTCTCAGACTATCTCCAATATAAAAAAACAGAACTTATATATCTTTGAAAAGTGGGAGTTCTCACTTTTTAACTCGCAAGTTACATCCAAATTCAAACGAGACTTTGCATATAGAACGAAGGTTATATGGGTCCCAACATTTTCCATACGTTGTAGACATATTAAGTCAAAGGGGTGTGCTATCCACATACCCTATTTTACTTCTCACATATCTCATGATAATTTATGTTCGTTGATCTTTTTCAATTCATCCGATCCGACGGTCGAAAATTAAAAAGGTGTGTGAGAAGTAAAATGGGGTGTGTGGATATCACACCCCTAAGTCAAATTGAGAATCAAATACAACTCTTGCTACCAAATTTTTGGTGCATTAGAAATAGCCTCATGCATATTATATCACACAAATAATAGCAAATTGTTTCACAAATCTTTATGTGTGCTTAACTAAAATCTAAGTATGTATTAAACAAAGATTCTAATTTTATTTCATCAAAGATTCTAATTTTATTTCACCGGCCATCCCTCACCACCTAGACTATGGCTCATCATTCAACTATGAAATTTTTAAATTTAAGATCTGCCTTGTAATTATTTCCTTTTGAGATATCATTTTCACTTTATTGAAAATTAAAACTTATCTAATAACTGTTCAGTTATCAAAAGAAAAAAAAATTAAAATCAAGCCAAATTTTCTCTCTCTAAAATAAATTTCAAGCTTTTGTTTTCGTTTTCATCTTTTTATGGTCTATTTTCTCAGTCACCAATTCGGTAAACATGGATCGCTCTGTAGTCTCAAAACCCAACTATTTAGAACCATGTGACTTAGTGACTCTGCGGCTTGACTATTGCAATTAATTATGATCCAATAAGAGCTCAGGATTTAGCCCTGACAAACATGTCATATTTGTCGTGTTCGTATTATTTTTGTATAATACCCGTTATTTTGATAGATTATGTCACGTCAAGCCCATTGTCTTAACATGTTCTTAATAGGTGGCCGGATAATGGACCGACTCGTTGATGGGTGTCATTTCGTATCAGTTTAGTGGGTTATACAATAAATTGCCGTGCATATTGTCTAGACCTGACAAATAGTTTGTGTTTGTGTTGTTTATGCTTTATACCGTTATTTTAGCTTAACGGGTTGTTAATTAACTTGTGAACTATAACGACCCGAAATGATAACGAATGACCAAATAATAATCCAAAATGTTACCGGAAGACCGAATAACGACTTGACTTATTAACGAGTCAACTCGAAACTTATTGTTTTTTATTATTTCTCGTCCGATTGACTGGTCATGCAACAAATTGACAAGCCTACCTAGACTTTCAGACAGGCCTCGAGAGTCGAGACCTAACGACTCAAAATTCATTAACAAAATACTCCAGACTCATTATGACATGCCCTTTCATTCTATGTCCTCACATTTACAATTTTAACTTAAATAAAAAACATCATTTCCAACTTTCTTACAAAACGAAAACTAAAACCAGTTTTTTATTTTTTATTTTTAATTTTAAAATATCAAACAAGTTTCTGCTTTTTATATATGAGCAAAAGAAAATTAGAAAGTAAAAAAAAAATAGTTATCAAACAAGTTCTTGGTGTTTTTTTTTTTTTTTTTTTTTTGGATGATGAAAGTAGATGACCCCCAAATTTTTTGAAGAGAAAAACACATGGTTGGAGGAGGAGGAGGAGGAGAGAGGGGAGGGGGGGGGGTGGGTTGGGGTTTGAACTCTCTTCATGGGTCTTAATTAGCTTCATTTGTACTCACCGCCTCCAAGAATATCATCATAATAGTAATAAAAGCATACCACAAAATAATACACCAACCACCTATTGATGGTCCTTATTAACAGTAAGATTTGTCAACAGTAGCATAGAAAAACTTCCCCCAAAGGATTATCTTATCTAACTACCTGAAATGTTACAAAAAACTGGATTGTTATTCCTACTGACTAGTCACCGAAAATTCTTTATTAAACTGACTTTCACTTATATAAATTCAACGAAGATTTGTATGCATATACTAGATACACAGAGGAGGTACACTCACACAAATTTTTGGGATTTTATGAGTTGATTTGGTAATTTTAATAAAATCCAATAAAAACAGGACATAAACAAAAGTGAAATAATGAAAAAAGGTTTAGTTCATAAATTAAGAAAAACAAGCTAGGGGGATTGCTATCCACCACCACATAATCATGCAAATATGTTCTATTTCATTCAAATTCCTCTGTTTCTAGATAAAGATGCTTAGGTTAATTCAATGCTAGGACACAACTTATTACTCTTTCTTATGTAGACTTAATTTAGTTCCAAGCATGTAATCTAGAATGGTGTTAATAAGCATATAAGATCATAGAAAGCAACCTACACCCCTTTGCATACAAAGACATAGAAGTGACTTATAATACTAATATAAGAGAAAGATGGCAAGTCAAGGAACCATGATATCCACTCCTTAGCTATGACATTCCAAAGTCATGCAGAACAGACACTAATCGTCCTCCAATATTATTGATTAATTGGACCTTCAAGAAACGAGTAGAGTATTGTTCGGGCAGGAAATCTGACTGGTGGGCGTTCCTAGCTCGAGCACACAGCTCCTCGAGTAGTTGGCACTTTGGTTGATTGTCGGGTTCCTGCTTGTCACAATACTGCAAGAGGAGAACAAAGTTAGTTCTAAAAGGTGCCTTTATGGGGCCTTAGGTGTAGGCCTTGAGACTCGTAATCAAAACCAACTAGGTGTTTAGGCGGATGTAAAACAAGTGTGTTTTAAGCAGATTACTTGCGTCCCAAGTTATTTCTGACTTCTTGTTTATCAAAGGATTGTTGTAGGTGGGTTAAGTTTACATTAAGTTCTTTTCTATGCCTTGAGATCAAAGACTTTTAGTTATCTTGTATGCTCGAGGGGTGAAGGTCCATATCTGATCAAGTCATCAGTTTAATTCATTCCAATCTTAATTAAAAGACTAAGTGAACCATATCTGAGAACTGTTGGGCTTTGGATCATCAAATGACCAGAAATAACTTGAATATAAACTGGGGAATGCATTATAACAACAGATCTATTAATTGAAAGACAAAAACAAAGAGAGTCGGGCAAGATTTCACCTTGTCGGGCAAGGTTAAACATCTTGCGGTGTCTTCTCTTTGCAGTTTACAAAAGGATTGAGTATTAAAGGAGATGACTGGAAATGAGTTTATACACGATGGATCGATACTACAACATTTAGGAAAATGTAGCAAAGCATTTACATAGACAAAAGATGTCTTTCAAAGGAAATCTAAGGCTAAACAGGGTGCAGAGTCTAGACAAAGCACTACTTTCTGGGTATTTGCTTGGCTGATAGACAAGTTGTATGTTTGTTTGTTTGATTGGTTGAGTGTCCTTGTCTCTGGGCCCTCTTCCTCCTTTTATAGACGAATTAGTCCGACCGCCTGTGGCTTTGTTCTTGCCCAAAAGCAATTGAAGGATAGTGACTCATCAGTATTTTACTTGTATTGCCACTAAAAAGTACTTTTGGGCTAAGAGTAGGTTGATTTTCAACAGTTGTCACTTCTCTTGTAAGCACCTAACTTTTGCATTAATGGGGGAACGCCAACTGGTCTTGAGATGGACGGTCTGGGCTTCGAGCGAAACTCTTCTTATTGAACTCTTTTGGGCTTTCTCTCCTCTAAGCCCAAAGTTAAATATTAACCCAAACAAGTATAAAACTAAAGATTTGAGTATACCTCGGAGCCAAGGATCTAAATCCCCAATCCCTTTTGGGGGCCAAATAACTCTAATCTCTACCATAGGTGCCAAAGAAGTTGCAATGACCGGCCGACTGGCCTAATGGTTTATGCTCGCCCAAAATATCGTAGTAGAAGTTGTATTTATGTTGTTTTTCAAAAAACAACTTTCGGAAACACTCTCTATCGCCGTTACAGATTAACAAGTAGAAATCATTAAGTAGTAAAAGAGTTTGAATCATCACTGGGCATCATAATTAATAGAAATTGGTTCACTTGTTAATTGTAATTATCAAGCATTACTCTTGAAAATATGTAGGATCTCATTTGGTAAGGGCAGGCACTCATAGCACTAGAATTTTATATATGCTTACTAAGTATGCATACAAAGAAGTCATATACTTAAGAATTAATCACTAACTAATATAGATAGTGAGTCAATTTCCATCCATTGATAGAAGAAATTGTTTACACTCAAAATACGCCCATTTTTACTTATTTGGGTCATTGGGGTAAAATATGGCATTTGGAGGATTATTATGCAAGAAGGCTAGCTCATCAGCTTCCTTGTAGACATTTATTTTTAGCTAGGCATCCTTTGCTTTTCTTGTTTATTAGCTCTGCTACTCACTTGTAGTATCGATCTGATTTGTAGCTTTTATGTACTCATTTCCAGTCATATAAATTACAAGCAATCTGCAATATTAGTCACTTTCCTCTGTCATTTATATTTCCAAGCAACCTTGTCATTTAC